GGGCTTTCCGGGCCCCTCCCCTAGATAACCGCAAGGAAGTCTCCAACTTTCCCTCTTTGCTCTTTGATCAGTAGAAAATGCTACTCATATCTATCGCTTTCTCGGTTCGCCTTGGTAACAGACTAAGTCGCCTCTAGCACATATTGAGGAATAATAGTAAATTACTTTGAAATAGGAAAAAACATGCTTTTAATTGATAGCAGATATACACCAGATATGGGTGGTGAACTAACGAAAGCTTTTAACGTTTTAAATTGTAACTTAAGGATATGTAAATAGCAATAAAAATCGTGGTATTATCATAAACGCAACAGGTGTCCTTTTACTTTCAGTATTGTTTTCACCCATTATAAATGTCTTCAAATAGCTATTTCTTTTCCTTCGTCCGATGTTAAAAGATAACCTAAATTTTTGCATGCCGTCATATTTTAGCTTAATGCTGCACGTTGTTCTTCTTGTGTAGTTAGCTAGTTTTGAATAAACTGCTGGTCTAAAAGTTTTGCGGTAAAGTCATTGTCCTGTATATCTTCAAAGTGTTCGTTGTTTCTTTTGAAAATGCGGACCAATATTGAATTCGCTTTAGATTCTCTCTTTTTATATGTTAAGTAGTCTTTCACGGGTTTTTCTTTTGTTTCGTTTATCGCGCCATGGAATGAGAAACAAAGAGCATTTTAAGTTTTCTCGATTTTTCTAACTGAATTTTGATGGTGTTAGGCCCAGTGGCCTACACTTCTGTAAATTTGCGATATTTATTACTGGCTAGCTTTCGAGGGTAATTCGAATCGTCAGAAACGAATAGCGATTTCTCGGCTATTAAACGGTTTCTAAGGTGGCAAAGTTATTCTAGAAGCATTGCAGGGTAAATTACCATCTCTCCCTTTATTTCTCTACAAAGGGCTTAATCATAATGCCTTACCACTTGTGCTTTCATCTTTTTACATAGTTACATTCGAGAAAAACACGCGGATTTTCTTAACAATTTGGCGCGGCTACTCAGTAAGCACCTGGCGCGGTCACTCAGCAGAGAACAACAACGAAAACTTAGCAAAATCGCGCAAACCATGGTATTTGAAAGGTTGAAGACTGAATTAAGACAACCTTCAACTTGTTTTGTTTGTTTAATTTTCGCGAGTTATTGAATAATGTACTCTAGCTTACTGAGTTAGACGTTAGTCTCTTGAAAATGTCCTAAAATGTTTGTTAGAATTTGATCAAATATTGCCAATCATTTTAAAACTCCTTTGCTTAAAATAAAATGAATGGGGTAGTGGATTGTTTCTAGAGTATACGCGTTGGCTATGTTAATATGTCTTTAAAAAATGCTTCGTGTTTAATAACAATACTAGATGAAATATCCCAGTTCATTGAACAAATTGATTTTATTTCTTTATTTCTGTGCGGCCGGCGTGTGTATGTTAGATTATGACAGTACACTGGTCCGTTTGTATATTTCCCGTGTTTTATCTCAGCCGTATTTTCCCTGTGATTTTCTGGCATTCGGCTTCGTCTCTCAAGAGGAGTCAAAGAGTGAACGAGGGAGAGGATAAAATTAGGCAAATAAAGTTTATTCGCTCACTTGTAGCTTGACCGCTTTTAACAATTTATTCATTTAAAATTCGATAGATTCATGTTTTATTGTCAGCGCATTAACTCGTAACTCGACTGCTCGGCGCGTGCCTTATGTTGTTTTGCAGGCTTTCTCCTTCAGGTATATAAACAAGGGGATTTACACGACATGAACAGCATACGTAAATACACGAGAAAATCAGTCAACATTACAAAGCGAGCGTACTTTCATTTTTACGATCCTCAAACTCGAGGATGGATGGGTTTCCATTGTTTTGATGTTTTCTTCGAATCTCAAGCCGAAGAAAAATTTGTCAAACGAACACAAAAGAATTTTCATTTCTTAATTTAGTCCCATTTACCGTTTATTAAAGAAAATTGCTCAAGAGAAAAATTATCCCTTTGCATATATTGTGAGCTTCTTGCGCAGTTGGGTGTTTATATTTTTCGCCCGTTATTTTGGACCATCAATCAAGGTTAGTTTGGAGAAGAGAGAAATAAAAGGCTATTAATTTTTGCGTTGATATGTTTTCTTTCGTTCGCGCACAATGAACCAGAGAGATATCTTTTCCTTCAGCAACACCAAAATACTTGTGACCGTTTCACCAATGGCGCATGCGGCTTTATGCCAAATAACATTTTTTATAATTTTCGCTTTGTATCTCACGAAAACATATCCATTTCGGTTCATGATTCGTGGCCGTGTTTCGCCCAAAAACCGGATGTCAAGTAAAGATTTCAAGTAATTGCGCGAAGTTTGATGTTAATATTCACTTACACAAACAAGAGTTTATCCTTGGTGCTTTTTTATCTTGGCCCTTGTCGTTCCTTGTTGTGACAGAAATGATTTGGCCTGTCGGTTTCTCGTACAAATTATGTCCGCTTTTCTGGAAGCATTGTTATCGAATTTTCATAACACCATGTGGCCGGAAAAAGTAGACGGAAACTTGATTGAATATATATTCATTGACGTGGCTTGCTGAATTTAATGGGCTTCCCCATCTGTTCTTTGAGGAGTCAATAAAGCATTGTGTGTGACGCCCAAATGGTTTTCTAGTAGTTCGTTCAATTTTCCTTAGTTTTGAGGAAAATTCAACCGTACCAGCATGTTTTTCTTTTCTAAAGTGAAAGAGGACGAATCTTCTCCAGATTCGTCGACAGGAAAACCGCCGCCTTTACTTCGAAGACACGATACTTTTGGGAGTGCCGAATTGTTTGAAGCTTGGGCGAAAGATTCTTTTATCAACCAAAGCACAATTGACATTCTGGTGAAAACGCATCAAATCGATTGCTTGCCCGCGGTTCTTGCGTTGAAAAAGGAAGATTACCCCCAGTTGAATCTACCGGTCGGTCAACGAAGGCTTCTTGAAGACGCGGTTGAGAAACTACGCCAAGAATACGAGTTGGTCAGACCACCAACACCAAAAGCAATAATTAATCTCGAGATGCCGGTTTATAAATCAATGTTGGAGATAGGAGAACTTGCGGAGGAAGAGACAGGGCCAAGTGAAATGGACGACAGGGGTCAGTTTCAGGAAGAAGTGCCTATTTCCCGCGCGCAATCGGGATTCGTTTCTCAGAGAAAATTGGGCCAAGCTAGCAGCTTTGTTGATTCTGGAACGGAAAAAAGAGACAGTGGACCTGAGAAGGAAACCTTACTGGCTACGGAACAGAGGAAACTATCGCCACAGACAGCGCAGCGGAGAAAAGGTTTAGGCCACACTCCATTGTATTTCTAAATGTTTATTAATAATTTATTTATCAACGGTTGATTACATTCCACTTGATTTTTCGAAAACTATTCAAGCAAATTCTTCGTCGCAGTTAATTTGTTGATGTTTCGCGCTTGAAGAGGTGTTTCGCTGGCGCAAGGATGGTAATTCTCTGTAATATAAAAATATTGGCATCATTGTCTTTTTTTGGTTTTTCCACCCGCGTTATGCGGTGTTAAGCGATGTTAAACCTCGCACAACACGGTTATGGGCTTACCGAAAGACTTTGAAAAGAACAGAAGGTATACATGAAAATATTCGACAAACGCTTACAACTGGAAAGAAAGTGCGAAAATTACAGTGTTTACTCTCAACAGGCGAGAAAGAAAAATTAGCATTTCACACTGAATTTATCAGCTTTTATTTTGATAATTTTTCTCTTTTGTTACTGCAACAATCGCTTATATTTTTTGACAACCGAAAAACACGAGCGAGAAAAGAAAACAGAACGTCGGTCGTACTTTCTAATTATGCTACGAGCTAAGATGCAAATTTGTTTGCAAGTAGGCGGGAAATTTTCTGAAGAACTAGAAAAAGGAGAATGTTGCGAAAAACTGGCGAAAGTACTTTTGTAACTATCGTCCGATCTATGTTACACCGTTGATGGAAAGGTTTCTTTGTATTAAACCCCTAGTTTCTTGTAGATTTGTGAATTTTTTGGCGTTTTGAAGCAGTTTCACCTGTCATCTTTTAAACTAATATAAAAAACACTCGCGCACAAGTTGGCTAATGCAATTTAACACCAACATAATTGTATTTTGTTCAGCTTTCAACAAGGTTCGTCCTCGAAAGAATCAGCTGGATTTATGGATTTTTGCTTTAAAAATGCCGCTATATTTGAGACGAAACATTCGAAATAAAAAAAACTTTACTTACAGTCATATTTTTAAGCGAGAATGCTAAATCTTGTGAAAACTCATTTACATAGGGCATTGTCGTAACAGCAATACAGCATCATCCAATCAAATCCTGTCAATTGCAAGGGTCTTTATAATATAACTGACTGATTTTTGGCGGGAATTATTTTAGCTATCGAAATATGGCCGGGCGGCTTTTATAAGTTATCGTTTGTTTATCACAAAGATACTGAATATTAGGAACCGAAGAAAGCGACCAGAAGGTTCCTGCGGCGTCCTTCGATTTTTTTTTGGCAAGAAGATCATTATAGGGGAACTCGAGTCTCCAGTTCACAAGTCAGGGCTTTTTTGTACATTCTACGAAAAACTTAGATCTTAGTGCCTTTTTCGAAAATCACAGCAGACTTTTTTAGTACCCAAAACGAGATTTTTATCGAACCGAAAACAACAGGCTTTAATTGAATTTCTCATATCCTGAAAGTTCGAGGTAACAATTCACTTGAAAATCGGAGGGGATTAAAGGCCTTACGAACAGCTAACGCACCGAGACGATCCAATGGGTTCCGGTCCCTGATGCAAGTAGTTTCTCGGTGACGTTTATAATTTGTTGTTCGCTGGTCACTTAAAGTCCTGGGGCCCGTTTCTCGAAAGCCCCGGAAACTTTTCGGGCCCGAAAAGCCATTTTTAGTTAATCGGCATTTAAAAACAGAGAGGTGTATACACCTGAAACTTCTTGTATGAAGGGAACCTCTGTTCATATTAAGAATACGTGAATAAAACGGCTCTGTAGTCATAAGGTTTGAGATTTTGCTACGGCTTTTCGGGACCTTTCAGAAACGGGCCCCTTCCGGCCTCAAGAATCCTCATGGGCACGATGAGGATGAGTAGTAGTAGAAACGGGCCCCAGGGGCCCGTTTCTCGAAGGTCCCGAAAAGTTTTCGCACCCGGAAAGCCGGAGCAAAATATCAAACCTTATGATTATAGAGCTGTTCTCTTCACATATTCTTAGTATAAACAGAGGTTCCATTCCGTACAAGAAGTTTCAGGCGTGTACACCTCTCTGTCTTTAAAACCAGATTAACTAAAAATGGTTTTTCGGGCGCGAAAACTTTCCGGGGCTTTCGAGAAACAGGCCCCTGGGCCGGGTTGTTCAAGGCGCGATTAAGCTAACCCAGGATTAGCGAGAATTTTGATTTGGGTTTGGTAATTTTCGGTGAGGTTTTCAGTTTGTCCTTCACTTTTGAGTTTGAATAATCTCAAACTACACAAAACATGAGTAGTCAAAAACGTTTTTACACAAGAAAAAAGACTACTTCGATTAACTTTAAACCTGGGTTAGCGTTAACGGGCTTTCGAACAACCAGGCCCTGAATAATAGGGAGCGAAGAAAGCGACCTTTTCGGTTTCTTTGGTATCTTTCGATTTCTTATCAATGTAATTCTGTTTTTTTCTGTGAGCGTCGCGTTAAATCTAGGTGGTGCCGAAGAAGATTGACATCGTTTGCCGTATCACCTGGCCAAAGAGTTCATGCATGTTGTCACGTACGCTCATTTATAGCAACTTTTTATAGCATTAAAGGGGTCTTTAAATCTTGCAAATCGAATGAACATTCTCGTTTGTTTCTCTTTTTTATCGTCGTCAGTTCCTACTCATTATTGTAGACAGACGTAAGGTTCCGCATACGTTATAAATGCGCACGGTTTTGCTTATTCAGAACACGTTGCCATCACTGTTATCGCCGATTTTTTTTTTTTTTTAATATATGGAAACAACTCTGTAGCGATCATTGAGACAACGATCGCTGGGATATTTAGACTTTAATTCTATCGCGACGATCTTCTCCAGGGATGGTCGCGATATTTTTGATGAAAAATATGCCAAATGCCGTGCGTCGTTAGATTCCAGTCCTCTTGGCATTGCTGCAATCTGCAGCAATCCACCGTAGGAAAAAGGATGGCGGCTGTACATTTTACCACAATACCTTGCGAACCTGACACAGCCTATGAGGCAAAAAAAAAGCCAAATTTTTACAGTATTTTTCCCTGTACTAAGGACATTTTGTAGCCTACGTTTGAAGATTTTATAACTTTTCTGTACATTTTTATGAACGTTTTTAAGGTTTTCGTTCGCTGAGAACTATGGGCAAATGTACCAGTTGCCATCTTTTTTCCTACGGAGGATTGTGGCGATCATATGGAAGTGATATTCGTATGGGTCGATGAACTTTTTCTGGAGTGATTGTAACGATCGCACTTATAGTAACGATTGCACTAATCATGTGGAAACCAGCCTTAGTAAACCTCATTCATGATCTTCCTCTGATAGATTTTATGCTGTAATGATAGCTCACAAGGTGACGGAGGCGCGGTGGCCCTATTTGATTAGCGCGCTGGACGCTAGGTTGAGCCCTGGCCGGAACAATTACGTTGTGTTCTTTGTGCAAGACACTTGACTGTTACGGTGCTTCTCTCCACCCGTGCAGGTGTATAAAAGGGTACCGGCGAATTTATTGCTGGGGTTAACCCTGCGATGGAAACAGTGACTACAGAAACCGGGATAAGCTCCANGACAATAAGCACGAAATACACACTTTAAGCAGTGTAGGATCTACCGATCGCGCGCAGTGATTTATTAGGGCAACATTATGGTTGAATGTAACTGTAGAGGCTCTACCCGTTCCGTGTTTTCTAGACGATGTTTGACCGCGTGCTGACTGACCTGAACAGTATTCTACAAGAGAAAAACAAGAGAAAAACATCTGTAGAAGTCACCTACAAAATGTTAACGCGTAACATTTTGTTCACTTTCTTATTAGATGGTAGCAAATCTTCCCCAAGACAATCCCAAGCATGCAGCGAGACAAAGAGTTACCATGACGACGGCGATGATGATGGTGACGAATACACAGCGTGCGCATGTCAGAGATGGATGTTCGTTACAATATTCATGCCAATATTTGTTGTTTTATCAATTTTAGGATTCATTTTCGTTCTTCTTCTCATGCCATGTAAGTACCAACTGCATCACTGTATTTCATTTTTTTTTTTTTATTTTATACCTATAATTCCCAGGTGAGTCGTATTACTGAGCCTCATAACCGTGTCGAGATTGTCAACCTATTCCACAAGACTTTTTTTTTGTTCCGTGCAGTACCAAGGAGCATGACGCCTGAGGCGAGTGTCTTTAGCTAGTTTCTGGCTCTTTCCAGGCGGGCCGGACAGAGCGGTCAGAGGTCAGAGATCGATCGAGCCAGTGTCCTCTGGGTCTGTTCTTTGTCCATCCAGTTCCCTTTTTGTCAAGCAACGGAAATTAAAGCGACACTGTTCAGGAAAAACCATTATCCAGTAGAAACTGATAGACTCGTGAATTGAATGCAAGCTTAGCTTTAATTCAATTTTTTTTTTTCCGTAAAAGTCTACATGTCGCGAATTGTGTTCGATTTTTGAGCAAATTTGCCAAAAATGTTTCTGATATGACACAAGGTGGTTTCACACAAATCTCGTGTGCTAACATTTATTGCTTTTGATTGATTAGTTTCTTTTTTCGTTCCGCAGTTCGTTTATGTTGCCCTCAAGGTGGAGTATTCACCAACGTTTTAACATTTCTATTTGAAGTCTTCATAATGGCTCCTTGTCTGGCGTGCAAGTGGGCGTCTGGGAAAGGAAAACAGCAAGCTAACTGGACAGCGGGCAGTAAGCCTCGCTATGGTGGGACAGATGACGTGGAGCTTGGTGACAAATAACTCCTCATTAGAAGAACTAAAAAAAATAATAATTTTAGGCCTACTTGTACAGTTTTATTTCTTGTTAAAATATTTATTCCTAGGGTTAATTATGCTACGCTAATGGACTTCTGGAGAGAAGAGTGAGGACTTTGGAAAACACAATGGGGCGCTGTGCTGCCCCAGAATAAATCATTGCTTAGTACCCCCCCTCCTCTACTATTTTCGAGGGCTATTAAGGTCCACGTTGTTTTCCATTTAGAAAAAAACCGGAAATTCCTGTTGGCATGTAAGGCTCTGTTTCCAAGGAGGGAGGGTTACCCTAGCAAGCGGTTAACCCCAGCTGGAGGGCAAAAGATAGCCCGGGTTTACAAGCAAAATTTCACAGGCAGGGTAACCCTACAACCCGGGACAACTTAATACGCGGTTACGCTCAAAGGGTCTGGAAACAATTAGAAAGCTAACCCGGGTAGGCGGGTTAACCCTACCTGGATTGTTTACAAGGGAAAAAGTTAACCCGCCTGCCAGGGTAACCCTAGCAAGCAGATAGGGTAACCCGCCTACCCAGGTAACCCCAGCTGCCTTGTAAACGCGACGAAGAAAAAAAGAGGAAATGTGCGAGTAACCCGCTTGCTAGGGTAACCCTCTCTCCTTGTAAACAGGCCCTCAATGGGCCACGATTCACTCTCGTTTTCGATTCACCAGTTTAAACCCTTTTGGCTTTCAAGGCCTCAAGCCAAAATGTCGGTTTTCTTTAGTGAATCTTCAAATACAACATATTCTTCTCGAGCGGCAAACAACCCAAGCACCCTTGGCNAGGCGGGTTAACCCTACCTGGAGTGTTTACAAGGGAAAAAGTTAACCCGCCTGCCAGGGTAACCCTAGCAAGCAGATAGGATAACCCGCCTACCCGGGTAACCCCAGCTGCCTTGTAAACGCGACGAAGGAAAAGAGAGGAAATGTGCGAGTAACCCGCTTGCTAGGGTAACCCTCTCTCTTTGTAAACAGGCCCTCAATGGGCCACGATTCACTCTCGTTTTCAATTCACCAGTTTAAACCCTTTTGGCTTTCAAGGCCTCAAGCCAAAATGTCGGTTTTCTTTAGTGAATCTTCAAATACAACATATTCTTCTCGAGCGGCAAACAACCCAAGCACCCTTGGCACAGCGAAGTATATTACCATTCGTTCTGTCTTTAAAACGGATTTCTACTCGGTGCCCAGTGCCCATCGCGCTGTTCGTCGCTTTAACCATTCGCGCTGCAATCGAACAAAGCATGATTCTCGCATAGAAATCGCAATCCAGTAGCCTCTTTGATAACGAATAGGGACAATGAGAGAAAGCCCAAATCCTGATGTAAAGGCTGTTGAAAAAGAGCCATTGAAACAATTTTGACGGGGATGTCGAGGCGTGGAATATTTTAGTTTCCAAATATTATTCGTCAAATTGACATGTCGTTCAAACACAGTGATAGCATTATGTTCAAAATTCAGCTTCAATAAAATACGATGAGAATGAATGTCGCATTTTCTCGAAAAAAGGAGAAAACTGCGTAGAAGACTCATATTATAAATTAAAGTATTTTTGGATAAACAAATCGAATTTTCATTTTTAATTATTTATTAAAAACTAAACTGGTACTTTTTGACATTACGTTACGTCTGAAGATTCAGATTAAGTGTGGCCTGGGTAACAAGCGTTCCTGCACGAACCAAGAGTTTCTCGCCTGCTAGCTCAGTGGTCGCGCGAAAATTGGGCGAGGGCAAAAAATAGACGAGGCTAAAAGAAAAAGCTCTTCGTTCGTACTGGAACGCTTGGTACGCAGGCTAGATTGAGTTACTGTATATAAAGAATTTATGAATTAGATGAAATAACAAATAAAGGAGACTGCATCTAGCAATACATGTTATAATTAATTCCCCATACCCCAACATTTTCTCCCAGCTTCTACTACGCACCATCGATTTTACTCCGGAGAGGCTGAAAGGAAGTTTGAAAAAGTCCGCTGGGCAACGCTCCTGACTCAGTTCGTTCCTACACTGAGCAAATCCCTTCGCAAACTCCCTTCCAGGCTCTGTAAAGACGAAAAGGACTCTAAACACCAAATCCCAGAAACAAATTAGTGATTGTGTTCGAGGGAAAAACGAAAATTGCGAGTCAGAATCAAAATCACAGTCATTTAACGGAAGGAAAATTTTGCCGCAAAACAACACTATTCTGTCTAACTTTGTTTGCTGTTGCAGCGTTCAAATTAAACACAACGCAGATGTTTTGCTCTTCATTTTCCCCTCGCTAAACCCGCGAGGTTTGAATGCCACATGTAGCGAAGCGACAATAAACATACACAGCTCTTTTCTTTATATTTGCAAAAGACAATCCCGCGTTCTACCGTTGGATTTCGTTGCGTATTTTAGTACTTAATTTAATCACAATTTTCAGTTGTACAACAATTTCGTGTCATTTTAGTAGAAACTATGGTCCACTGGTATCATATACATGTAAGCGTCAAAAGAATTACCCGTAGCAGGCGCAGTAGACTTTCGGTTGCCTTAGTTACTGTAACGGAACAAATTAGTTACATTAGACTTGTGCGACCATTTCACAAAGGAATGAGCTGCGGTTGAGCGAATACCACCCACTAGGCTACCATGGCTTAATAAGAATCTCATTTGACAATGTTCTGAGAACGATTTGTGATACTGTACCAATAAAGTCCACAATGACAGGCTAACCTCTATCACAATGTAATTAATCTACAAGTAGATTCAATCCCTAGATGCATCAAGGGCACCTTTGTTCAAGGTGCAAAACTATGCAGCAGCAAATTCTAATTAACATTACAAGCTAAAAAGTCTTGATTAAACCTGTAATTTGCCGTACTGCATGGCCGCAGTGAAGCTCTTGAAAGAGTTCAGGCTTTTCACGATCATGTAATTGTAAATGAGTACACCAACTTAACCCACTCCCAGAGGCAACAAACCTTGCATCAATCATTGTGATACTAACTTTGATGTCTTCAGATGTAACCCGCTAAGAGTACGAGCTATCGAACAATAATTTCACATGGTTCTGTTAATTACACTGTACAAGATGGTTCTAACTTTTAAGTCTGTGGATTAAACCCTAGTGTGTTGAGCAGTACTTTCATGTTTAACTGCTTGTTTATCATCTTGCAAAATTAAATTTTGATTTTTTTTTTTTTTTGACTTGGACACTCAGTGGAACCAAATGGGAAAGGCTGCCTTGAAAAAACATACATGTTGGTACATTTAAACGGAGTTAGTCCTCAAAGGACAGACAGACAAGCTTTTTTAGGAAATTGATGAAATATTAACACACATAATCTGTTGTCTTGGAATACCATCGTTCATGTACACGTATTTTAATACTGTACTTCAAGTGTCAATCCTTCAGGTCCTTACTGTAACACCAAGATTTTTTAACCTTTCTTGATCGTTAAGGCATCATCAATAATTATGTACATGTTAAAACATGTTAACGGTCTTGATCTTATCTCATCTGGTTGTAGGATATCTCAAAAGATATAAGCAAGGGGAAATTAATTTCTGTTATTTTAAGCCTGGTGCTGAATGGTTAAAACAATTCACTTGGGTATTGCCCTCCTCACTATGTACGAAGAAATGTACAAATATTACAATACCAAGTTTTAACAATTTCCTTCATTAAGGACTGTCCCTCGATGTGAACAAAGCATTGCGTGACAATCCAATGAGGAATACCTGGTAGTCAGTGGACCTAGCATTTTTGTTATTAGACAAACAAACGTCAAATGTTTTTTTTACCTTGGCTGCCCTTCTGAATGAGGCATTTACAGACTGTAATAACCATATCCAGATAGATTGCAAAAATAGACAAAGTGATATATCATTGCATTTACATTGTTTAACATGCAAGACAAGTTTAACCACTGTGAATTTTTTAGCAGAAATATATTCTCCTGGAATCCCCTGAGCCCACTGTAATCATTCTTGCTGGTTAGTGTGGTGGGCAGTTTAGCAGGAACAAACAAATACTTCATGTATGTACCACATGTAACACACTGTCAAACAACTGGCAAATGGCATTTGTAAAGACGATGCCAATCCCCACCAATTCCCCTTTACTACTTAGTATATAATAAGTATTTATATCGCATCTGGTATCTACATGTAAATGTTACACTAAGCCGATGATTTGTACCATTTATGGAAAATAAGTCATGCTCTCATCTGTGTCCCACAGGGTAAATTTCTTGAAGTTAGCTGATTAAAATCAAAGATCTTGACGCGGCGATAGTTGGCTAGCAGGCACATTTCTCCTGGTTTGCTTGCTGATCTGTGTGCAGCGAGTTCGATGGTCGCCCTGCTAGAGGTTTGTGTTGCACTCCCGACTCTGCAGCATTGAGATCCAAACTAAACAAATCACAACAAGGGTACAGTTAACTCATACATGTAAACAAGCTCTCACTTACCAAGTGTGCATGTACAATAATAACACACTCAAAGACAGGTGCAGAGACCTAACTCTGCTTTGTACCATATAAAATAGTATCGTCAATTAAATATTAATCCCGTATCAAGGAAACCAATAAAGAGAACGAAAGGTTAAGTCCTTGTTCAAGTCTTGCCACCCATCACGTTAGAGCATGCCTCCAGTTTCTGTTTCCTGAAGCTGCTGGATGGACACTAGTCCATTGCATGGTAAACCCCAGGGCATTTAATTGGTCAGTATCCATTTATCCACATCTGGGAGGAGGGAGACTCTGTTAAATCAATGTCTCGCCCAAAAATACAACACTACATAGAGGACAGTAGACAAGGACTCAACTCAGATGACTCAATCTAGAATCTGCATCCTAACATTTAAGGCAACTGTGCCTCTTACATGGATGAAGAGAATAACTTCTTGACATAATTTAATGTGTATGTTCACACTGTGTTGATGTGAATTTAGCTAAAATCCTGAAGGTGCATTACAAACAGTACAGTAAGAGGAATTATATTCCAAGCAAGGCTGATGCTTTATTACTGTCATTAATACACTTCTACAATTCACACTGTACATACATGTCATGCGCAGCACTCTTCAGTGAAAACAGTAAACAAAACGATAACTAAACACACCTTCCATCCTGGATATTTTGGTATATTTTCTTTGCAGTATCTAAGAAAGCATCCTCCACATTTTCCCCACTAGAAATAAACACAACTTGGGTTAGAACAAAGACTGCAGAATAGTAATTTACATTATAACATGTAACAGAATTAATCAAACATGTAAAATGCTGCAGTTTACATATTAATTATTAATTAGTGTGAAGACACAAAGAGAACAAGTTAAACAATGTGTTGACCATACTCACGTCTTTGCACTTGCTTCACAAAAGAGAAGTCCTGGAATGCAAACATTTTTGAGCTGATTATAAAAGTGACTACTGTACAGTCAGTTAAGATCATTAAAATAATACTATATATGTACACAGTAATGTCAAAAGAGTTACAGACATTTTTGTGAAAGCTTATAATAAAACAAGTAAACTTGTCACTAATGCATGTCATACCACAATAAAATTGTACAATATACAGTAACTAAACAGTACATGTATATGTATATCTGTGGTTTGTAGGTTTACAAGCTAACATTTTTAAGGCCACAGAAGTTCATAATAATTTAAAAGAAATACAACAGCCATTAAGGCTATTTACCATTCTCCTCTGCAAACTGTTTGGCTTCTTCATATGTCACATCCCTCTGTTGGGAAAAATACTTGCTCATTACAAGAGTGAAGGCATAACTTTGAGTGCAGTTACAATAGGACAAAAATTGAAGGTCAACTGGGATTTAGGACAAACTACTTGTGGGCAAAATGTTTCTCATATTCTGTGCACATGTGGGGCTGAAACCCTGCAAGGAAATCTAACAGATCAACTAAGGTCACACTAGAAATCGATTTGGACCTTGTTCATGTGATTTGATCTGTACATGTATTCTGATTAGTGTCCAGCCACACATCTGATTTTGTTTTTCACAGCTTGGAGAAAAGTCTGGAACAATTTAAAATATAAAAAATTATTGAGCAACATGTATTTCAGAACTGACCTGTGCATCAAGATCCGACTTGTTCCCAATCAGAAATATTACCTGGTATATAAATTAGGAAAAAATAATCTATTAGTAAGAACAAATCCTTTTGAATGCAGCAAAACAGAAACGATCCCTCAACTACGATAAACTTTACAAAAGAGTGTGTGGGTTGCTCCCATGCAACAACCGCAAGACCAGACATTTCATGTGTAGCCCTCCTGTGCAGTCATCAACAAAGGCCTGGTAATTACCGTGTTTGGGTTTGTTAAATTTCTTGCATCTGTGAGCCAGCTACTTAAATGATTGTAAGTGCTTCTCCTAAAGTAAGGAAAAAAAATCACATGGTGAGCTAAATGTTCTTTGATTGATTACTTTCCCCAAACACGATCATATCCATGTAATATGAAATATCTTGCTTAGCTGTCATGTTCTGAATTGGGCATTACATCAATAGTTACCTTATAAATGAGCATCAGAATACAATAAAATGAAATGTTTGTCTTGCTCAATTGCAAGCTTTGAGTAAATGGAATTACATGTGCAGAGCTCTAATTTATAAGCCACACTCGATGCAAAACATCTCACTACAAAGTAGAAGTTGCACTGTACTGTGCCTGCAGCTAAATAAACACTAAACTGGCTCATTAATGAGCCCTGAACGGTTTTTCAGCCCTTAACACCCTCAAAGTTAGTCAAAATCTAGTGACATTTGAGCCAGTTTTATGCTCTCTTTTAGCCAGTAAAACTAGGCAGTAACACCCAGCCAGCTCTTCACTGCATCCCTGTTTGTGGTACATTCATGTATCACACAGATTTAGCTTGTACATGTACATTTAATTTTGAAGACACTGGTGCTAGTGGTCAGGCACCCTTCAAGTCATTTCTTTTACATCATGAACAATTAAAACAAATTGTATTGTACATAGCATTTTCATTCACAGAGGCTGTGATCCTCCTGGTTAGCAACCAACAAAATGATCTCTAGGCTGGCAAATTCAGATTTCTTTAGCATTCACAGAGCACCCATTCCAGACTTTGGTGGACTTCTGATAGACAAATGGGATTCTACTATAAAGTGTACATGTATACATGAAAAAACCAGGTGTTTTAAGTTAAAATTGTTTTTTACCTTGTAATATCATACACCATTAGGGCACCAGCAGCACCTCTATAGTAACTTCTTGTGACCGCTCTAGAAAGTTGCAAAAATAAGGCAGCATTTGATGTAAAATACTGGTCAGAAGCTTTTGTATACAATTGAACAGAAAGTAATTAAGCAGTAAGCAACAGAGGAGGGGATACATGTAGGTCCTAGGAAAATGGGTGTAGTGAGGTTTATTGCTACAACTTGGTACATGAATACATACCTGAATCTCTCTTGTCCTGCTGTATCCCATATTTGAAGCTTGATCTTTTGGCCTGACACTTCAATTATACGTGTTCCAAACTCAACACCAATGGTATGTGGACAGTCTGCCATAACTAAAACAGACAAGCCACATACAGTTAATTAATTGAATGAAGCAAGATATACATACACGTGGTAAAGCCAAATGACCAGAATGATGACTTCGCTCAAATTATCTTTATTGGTTTGAACAACTGAGATATTTTAGAAATTAGGTAAAATGTAAACATGTGTAATTACATTTCTTTTCTGTAAATTGATGAAGTAGACAGGATTTGCCTACACCCATATCTCCTGTAAAACAAGAACAATTGAAGTGTGTGTCAGTCAAGATATGCAATCGTAATGTAAAATTAGTCAGACAATCGCAAATTTGGTCCAACATTCAATGACCAATTTCCAGTCTTGTACTAGTATGTCTAGTATGTCTATGTCTAGTAAAAACCAATGAAAGCTCTCCTTGACTCAAACAAGGTATGATTCAAACTGATCAAATTGTACAAGATTGCAAAATAATAGAAAATTGTACTTTGCCAAGATGATTATCTGGGCAAGGGTAAATGGTAGTTCTGAATGTCTTTTGGTGAGGTTGGGTGTCTGTTTTACTCATCTATTATGCAGAGCAAGAAGATCATCATCTGTGGGTAGTTTTACTTTGTCTTAATATGTGCAAATGCATGCAAAAAGCATGAGACATGCAAACAAAACTCTTCAAAACTCTACCTCTTTACAACGAGCACAAAAGAAAGAAGGAAACTGTGGTGAAACAGGTGTATTTCCAATTTTAATACATCTTCCTTTAAACTACATATCAAATAAAATACATGTATCAAATAAAACCTTGAACATGGACACGCCGTGTTTTCAAATGACCAACAGACTACTGATGCGTGTCAAAATATTGATAAATAAAAATATGAAAAAAGTTTATCGTAAACATGCAAGAAGATGAAATAAATATTTCAATCTGAAATAGTTTATTAACTCTCATTCGCAAACGCACAATGACTTACAAGCTTAAATCAGCTCTCATTTGGAGACTGGTGACAAAGAACAAAGTGCGAGTACCATAATATTTAATATTTTAACTTACCGATAATGATATATTTGAATATATACGAGTAGTTGTAAGGTCCTGTTGCTGCCATGGTCGGGAAACTAAATAAAAAAAGGAGGAAGGATACGTCAGAGGAAGCTAAAGCGCTTTACGAAGACGGAAATTCGCTACCTGCAGCCTAAGCAATACAATACGGTAGCTACTGGCGTATAATTTTCTTTAGCCTACGGTTCATATGCGACTAAACTATTCTCAGAACAAAAAATCACGGTTACCAGATTTGATCCAGTATGAATTAGATGTCATTTCGAGATATTTTGCAGTAACAAACTGAACGATATTGTGTCGCATTAACACGTGAAAAAAGGCGGTCAGCAGAAACTGCAAGCTCATAGTCTAATGTCACCCACCCCCATGACGAAAGATCGGTCAAGAACTGAATACGAAATTACATTGGTCTATTAAGGAACAGTAAATATACGATCTTCTCACACTTAAGTTCCATTACAGAGCACCTACCTCGCCAGTTAATCAAAATAGAAAACCAAATCCGGAAGACGAAGACGAGAAATATGGCGGATCCCGTGATTCGAAAATAGCCCCGGGTGCTAAGGGCATTGTGGGTAGGTTGACTCGGTCATCTTCGGTTGTACCGAGTAGTAATCGACGAGAACGAAGAGGATTCGATGCAAGATTAAAAATACGCGGCCGCAAAGCCGTGCTCGATGGGTTATCAACAATGGTGGATGAAAGAAGCAGGCGTTTGTCGTGGGCGATAGCGGCCTTCAGCTGCCGAATTAATGGAAGATGACTTCGGTGTGGAAACGACTACAACGTGTAGGGAAAAAGGCGTCAAAATTCCAGTTTACTGCCTCATATCAGTCGTTAACTGTTGAATGTGTTAGAGGTGGAAAATGGTAAGAGGACTGTGGGCCTACATAAGTGTAATCATATAGCTCAAATATGTTTTGGAGAAAAAAGCACGCCCTTTTGTGACCACGTCTTAACACTTTGTGTGTCGGTGGTGTGAAATGGAAATTTGTTTACAAACTTAAACTAAACCTGTAATTTTTTTTTTTTTTCGCTTTGTGCCATCCCCGATTCAATGGAGTTTACCCAAGATTAAATAAGCTTAAATTTGAAAATCAAAGGCAATGGAGAGTTCTTTGAGGCATGAAAAGACTTTCGAATTGACTTTTAGCTTTAATCGCCAGTCAGCGCATGATATCTTAGCTTATGATACAGTAATCCTTTTGTTCCTACAAATTGACCATGCCTCTGTTGAAATGTTTGGATGCGTGATATTATCTTTGTCGTTGTGTACAAAGTTTATGCCTTACAGTCTATACGTCTAATGGTATCCATGCTGTAGATGTAATGGCTGTTCAATGGGGAATCCTTATTAAAAAAATTAATTCGGGATCGAAGAAATCGCGACAATGAAATGTTTCAGTGCAAAGAAATTAAAGCAATGAAACTGAAAGTTTTTTCTAACTTCCTCCTTTTCGGCTAAAATATGATGTTTGCGTGATTGAAAGTGCAAGTTTTTGACAGAAAGCAATTACCATATAAGTGTTGAATCAATACGTAATGCACATTCTTTTCATCTGTTAATTGCTCTGTAATTATTGACGTTATACATGTACAGAATGAATATGAAGGAATATTTATACATGTGCACCTGTGTAGTTGTACTTCTCATTGGAAAAAATTTTCTTTGCAACTTTGTTTTTCCTTTTCTAAACAGACTTTCAATATGGCTTATTTTAAAACTTGGATTGATTTGCAAGGCAGTTGTTTGTTTTATACATATAGGAGCACCTTTTGATAAAAATCCCTCCACTTTGTCTAGTTGAGTTGAATGTTTGTTTTTTTAGCTCAAGGTCTGACCTCTGCCCAAGAGGAGATCAGGAACAAAGATTAGCAAGTCTGGATCAAGAGATTAAGAACTTATTGGTGCACAGAAATCTGCGCCAATAAATTTATTGAGACTGAAACTGTTTCAGAACAAAATAAAAAAGTAATTCAGAATGCTGATTTTTGGTTGGGAAGCTTGTAAATATGCAAGTCATAATAAAGTTGTTGTTGTTGTTGAAGCAATGTAAACAAGTAGTTGGGAATAAAAGGAAATTGTTAGGTTTTGATCAACATAATGTTGTTGAAACCTTGACTCTCGATTCTTCCAGGAAAAACAGTTGTGGGGCTTAGGAACTTTTGATCTGATCTTCAATTCACTGAATCCATAGAGCAAGGAACTTTGCATAAAATTAATTGAACACTGATTTTTTTTTTTTTTTTTTTCACGTATTCAAATCCAGGCAGCCCAACAAACTTGTTGTGGTATGGACAAGACGGAAGAGAAGAAAGCTAACTAAGGTGAAAATAATACATGTATTTCTTAGTTAAATATCACAGGGAGGTACCTGTACTGTACCTGTTAAACATTCTCTGTTGTCAGGACCAAGCATTGGCAAACCATACTTTTTATTTCCTTTTAACCCTACACTTTTTATAGGCAATAATGCTATTCCCTTTGAATTCGTATCAATTTGTTCAATGTATTATGTATTTATTTATATTTATTCAGAAATATAAATTATTTACATTTACATATACCCTGTATGAGTTTAAAAAGAAATTTGTTAATTAACAAGGGACTATGTCAGTAAAATCTTCCACTGCCCTATCGCATTCCCAAAACTAACAAATCGCACAGCAGATGCCGATAACTAAATATAACTAGAGGATGTAGTAGGTGACAATTTAAGGTCCTAGTTTTTACTGTTTGTTTAGCCAATGCCATGGCAACCTGGAATCAGCAACCCATTCCGAGGCATCATTGTTTGGCCAGAACCAGATCCTGTAGACATTACTGTTACCCTGTACAAGGTAACACCGCTGAATCAGCGCATGATCACTCTGAAACATGTTATATATTTAAATATTCAATAGTTTGTATAACATGCCAAACCTGCACTGTGCTTGTAACAAAGTATGTACAATTGTACAAAACACTCATAATGTTTCATCATTACAATTCTATAGAAGTTACATGTATGTAACAGTGTTACTCAGAAATTCACTGAACCGTGGACTAGGGTCAAATTTTTCAACAACAGCCCTGTACCACTTTCTTTTACTGATATGCCGACATTGCCTTTGTGTTGTTGTGAGCTGACTGTAAGCAGATTTCAAAGGAAAGGTGGAGAAAAGAATTGGATAAATGTGTTAGAAATAAACAAAAATAATTATTGTACAGTTTTGGTTATTCTCTTAACTAAGAGTGCATTTCTTTAAGAAAATCCAAGATTGGATTCTTAAATCTGATTTTGTGTTTCTTTTCCACTCTGGGCAAGGATTCTTTGGTTCCTTTGATGCACCATGATCCGTGTGATCTTGGATTGATCTGTTTCTAAGTAAAGTTCAACTGCAAAATCCATTTGCGAATTTAAGAATCCAATCTTGGATTTTGTTAAAGGAATGCACCACAGGAATTTAAGTCATGCCTCCATGCATAACATGTACATTATATTAATCTCTATTATTTAATGTGAAGGACTCAAAACCAGATAGCCAGTTTGAGGACAAAGAGTGGACCTTTGTTATTGAAGATGTAAGTTACTGCGTGAAGTCATTTGTTGGGCCACTAACTGGGCCAGTCTGTTTCAGGGCCTAGATTTTATCCTGTCTATTAAATTACGTGACTGCACATGCATACATGAAAGTGGTACTGTGCCAAGCCCTTTGCCATGTGGATTATTTAAAAGGAGAAATTAGTACTTTCACGTATTGTAAACTTTAAAGAGAAGGTTCTACAAGTAAATACAGTCAAAGTCTGCTTGGACACCCCTCTTGATATAGACAGTATTTTTTGTAGACATTGTTTTTGGTCCCAGTGACTCACAGGATACATTTTCCCTTACTTAAAACTGCTTATAAAACAAAGCATTTGTCTGTATTTAATTCAGGTACTTACTGGTATTTTTTCCTGCACATACTTTCTGTTGCCCCTTTGGTGGCCATTTAAATGGGTGTTCATTATTGACCGGCCCAGACTGCAGAATGCCCCTTAAACTCTAATTCACATTTCATTTAACTACAGGAGTCCCTGACTGGAAGGCGCAAGGCTATTGCTACAGGTGCTATCAACATGGTTGATTACGTCAGTGTAGAGAAACGCACCTTTGATGTCACACTAACCCTGAAAGTCGCCAGTAGGAAGTTGGTGTCAGCTTCCCTTGAATTTAACCTGACCTGTGTGTTGATCAAGGAAGGAATGGCGACGTGAGTATTGTTTATAACCCTTCTGTAGTCTAGTGTACTTCAGCATGAAGCTATAACATGAACTGAACATGTCCATGTGTGACGAGATTTAACTGATTAACTTTCATTTTCTGGTAATTACACTGTATGACGTACTAGCCTGACAGTCACCTCCACTCCTCTCTACATCCCCTCCCCACCCCCATCCCTCACCACCCAGAAAGTTCTCACTAGCATGATTGCTAATACTTAAAATTAAACTTTAGTTTCATCTCCTAGAAGCGATACATCTACTTAATTAATCTGTAGATTGAGTTTTCCTTAGAATTTTCCAGAAGAAAACTGTACTTGCCCAGTAGGCAGGTGAAGGATAAAATCCTCTAGCCTGGAACTGCAAAGTCCATTAGCTCCCAGCTATTGGACACAACTTTTGTTGCATCGTGACCTTTTGTTCCCACTTTAATTTTATTGATGATAATAGCCTTCATGTTCACGTGGCTTTCTTTTATTACCTTCATTTTGCCTTTAGTTAGTTTACTATTATTTTCTCTGGAATTGAATTTAATGTTGTTAATTAAAACCAGAAATTCATTGTACATAATTGATGCATGTATTAATAATAAATTAATTTTGTTATTCTATCCTCAGTGATGATGATATGATCAGTATCGGCAGCATGTTGAGCTTGGGTGATGGCTACTACTTAGATGATTATGATGACGATGTGGAAGTAGCACCATCGCCAAGGTTACGACATAAACGGAACTTGTCACAAGGCCATGCAAAACTACCAGGTACATGTATTACATGTGAAAGCTTTTGTGGCCACCATTTAGAAAGAATGAGTCATGTTGTATCACGCTTCCTACAGGGTAGTGCCTTTGTCCTCGCACCAGTAGTTATTTTGTAAAACATGTTGCCAGGGATATATGAGACCTCCTGTTTGACAATGAATTTCCTCGTGTTTCTTCGGTATGATCCACATTTACCCACTATGGTGGCCTTGACTAGATAGCATTCTTTTGCCTTAATGTATTGAGAACTAAAGTGGTATGCTGCTGCTTTTTGTGGATGGTTATCATCACATACAATAAATCAGCAAATAAACATGCAAATTGGACTAGAGCTTTTGGATGGTTATCATCACATACAGTAAATCAGCAAATAAACTTGCAAATTGGACTAGAGCTTTTAATCTTCTGTGTTTACATGTATAGAATATGTTTGAACTAGAGGCAAAATTGGCAATATCTTTTTTTAGGTTGACATATAAATCTTGTATGTATGTGTACATATAAGTACAGTTGTACACCAGTCTAAAACTGGTGTAATGGTTTCAACCACTCAACCACTCAATCAATTAATCAATCAATTAATCAATCTATCTATCTATCAATCAATCAGTCTATCAATTAATTAATCAGTCAATCAATCAATCAATCATACAATCAATCAATTCTTCAGTCAGGCAGGCAGGCAGGCAGGCAGTCAGTCAGTCAGTCAGTCAATCAGTCAATTAATAAAATGCATGAAACAGCCTTAACTAACAAGGCATTTTCAATCAAAGCAGTTACCAAGTTGCAAGAAGCAGAAGATATTAAGACTCGATCACCAACCGCCTCTCCTGTTCCTAGCAAGAAAAGGAGCAGATTAAGGTCCAAGTCTGCGCTGGGAGAAAATACCAAGACCCTGATTAGTGATCTTCAGAAAGTAGAAGGCATGAAAAGGTGAGATACTGTGGGTGGAAATTAAGTAAGATTTTACCCTCAGCTTACATGAATATAATTTTCACAGGTAAATATTTTTCAACAAATAGTAGTAGCGTAAAAACAAGAAGCATATAAGGACATAGATACAGTTGTCAAGACTTAACTAACTTAGTAACCAGGCACTACATCAAATGATGAAAAACTAGTTTCTAGGCTCTTTGCCTAAATTTGTTTGGAATGCGTTGAGGAGAGAAATTTGTCGTGAACGAAATGGCATGTTTTTGTCGCTATTTTAAGAGAAAAACTTCTTCAAAATAATTAATCTCTCCAGAATGTTAAGCAGCTGCTTTATTGCTAATACGCAACACTTTTTCTGTTTTATGCGGCAAAAAGCTCTGATTATGCGGAGGATGCGGATGTTAGCAAATTATGCAGATCCGCACCACCATATCCTGTCAGATGCCTTGTTTTAATGTGTTTTAGCAAGCCTTGTCTGATGACTAGGAAAACAAATGATGATTAAAAACTGCTCTGTACATGTACATGTGTGTAAAGCAGTGATCCACAGACAGGTACTCAGTCTAGGACAATTTCCCCCATTGTTAGATAATCTATTAGCACTACATGTACTTGTTACCTACAGTGTATGTTGAAAGTTTCAGAGCAGTAATAATTAATCCATGATTGTTACTGTAAGTACTGCTCTTTTATTTTGCCAAGGTTAAGTACTGACTCAGATGTTTCTGCAGACGTGTCAGATGGTGCTCAGGTAATGTAGATCTTTATGTACCTTAAATCCCTGAATTAGCACTCCCTCCCCCCCCCCCCTCGAATAAGCGCCCCTTCGAATAAACGCCCCTCCTATTGGCCGAAATTTAAAATAAGCACCACCCCCCCTCAAATAAGTGCCCCCCTCCCCTTCCCCCCATTTTCTGGGCGAGTAATGAGACAACAAAGGATGTATAGTTTTCGTCATGTAGTATTAGATTTTTTTGTACATTGTTTCAGTTTGTAAACATGTTAAGTGAACACGTTGAACATGTTAAGTACTAATGGTGCCGCGCTTTAAACTTGAGGATCAGCTTTTTATGTCAATAAACAGCCTATGTTGTTGTTACATGCAGATGATGTATTATTAAAAAAATGATTATGTCAGGCCATGAGTGCCCCCTCAAATAAGAGCCCCCTTGAATAAGTGCCCCCGTCTTCTCCTAAATTTGAAATAAGCACCGCGGGCGCTAATTCGAGGATTTACGGTTTATGTTATAGGTCAAAATGGAATTCTGGTTAAAATGAAATTCCTTTGTCTCTTAACCCTAATTCTTCATGGATCATGAATAATTAGAGTTAGAAGAGAAATGGAAATTGAGAATCAAACTAGGTTAAAATCATTTTAGCCTTAATTTCATTTTGAGACAATATAAGTATATAGAGGATATTACACAGTGGTGAGAAAATATGAATTTTATGTTTGAGTGGCAAGAGCAATATCTCACGAGTGAGTGCAGTGAATGAGTGAAATATTGTTCTTCCCATGAGAACTTAAAATATTCATATCTTTGAGCTAACATGTAATGTTCTTTTTATTATATAGACATACTGATGACGGCATTTTTGATGATTTTCCAAAGATTTCCAACCACTTTTCGACGATTTCTGATAATTTTCCAAAACTTGACTGAAAGTCACACGTAAATTACCAAACATTTTTCGAAAATTTCCGAAGATTACCGAAGATTTCCGAAGATTACTGAAGACTTTCGAGGAAGACCCGAAGATGTTTCGATCATACACCAATGAATTTAAGTACAATTTAAGAGACAAACTCGATATCAGTGAAATCATCAATATCTTCACTAGTGAGGATATGGAAAATACACCACCTGAGTCCCGGATGTGGTTTCGCATGAATTTGAAGAGTGGTGTATTTTCCAGTAAAACACTCGTGTCTATATAATGACACTCATTATTTTGTTAGCTAGGTTCCCTCCTCTGCTACCTTAAATAGCCAAAGTCAGGAGCTGGTAGCTGAAGCTGCTGAAATGAACAGAGCAGAACAACTATAACTATATTGCAACAGACCATAATGTAACTCAAAATATATGTAGCTGTATGAAAAAAAGTTTAATTTATAATTTTAGGAAAGTTCAAAAGACAAGAACAAGATGGAATCTGAACTGATCAGTAAGTGCAGTTAATATTAAATGACTTGTAGACATCTATTTGATAAAGCCAATCAGAAAAAATTGGTGACTTTACAGCTTTGCTTTTCAAAGAAGCCTACTTGTAATATCAAATCTAGTGTCAAATCCATAAGTTGAAAATAAAATTAAAGTTGAAATTTAAATTTCTCACTCACTGCTGGGAGCCATGCCAAGCCGAACCATGCAGCCTGACTTTGATTAACAAAACAACATAGCTGTCTTACAATGACACAAAAAAGTGGCTAGAGAATAATTTTACTTCAACTTAATACATTCTAAAAATACTTCATGGGTGGGGCATGTCAGGCAATGGCAGATGGCAAAACAAAAACTGAACCTTACACAAGCCACGTGACCTGAAAACCCCCGTGCACTTGTACTCAGACTCCCAGCTGTGTGTGAGAAGAACATTTTCAACTTCTTTCGTTCCTCAGCCAGCGGAAGACAACACATCTTTAAGGGTTTGATACGAAAATCGGTTATTAATACCAGTTAATTTTTTCTTTCTGCAGAATGGGCGAGGTCATGCACTAAAGGCTACCGTGGAGTGAAAGTTAGGGACATGACTACAAGTTGGAGAGATGGGCTTGCATTTTGCGCTGTTCTTCACCACTTCCATCCTGACCAAATGTAAGCCAATACCAATAGGCACAGGCGATCAAGATTTGCTCTTGAATTCTAAGTGCACATAAATGCGTAACATGTCTTACCATTAAGACAGTGCATCTCGGTTATTTTCCTGGCTTTGGCAGGAGGGCTTAGAAATTTTAGATTACAAGTCCCTTAAGTGGCATTGTACAAGGAAAGGGTTTTTCCTTCTTGTTTTCAGCCTTCCATTCTGCATGTATTAAGTACTTCATTCCAGAACTTGCTTTCCAGGGCTTCTCTTTCTTTTTGTCCACCATCATTTGACGCTTCTGCGTGCCTCATATTCCATCTTGCCCTTTTACGTACTGCTGTCCAAGTCTGTCAGGGCTGCACAGCACTCATTTCTGCTGCCAAACCTAAGCACATGACCATGCCATCTTCACCTGAGTACTCAACATTTGATAATTAGAGATTAAATCAACTATGATATTTTATTATTTAAAGTGCTCCGCGTGGTTAAATCAGGTTTGTGGTATTCTCATTTGCAGTGACTTTACGTCTCTTGACCCACAAAACATTAAAGAAAACAACAAGCTGGTAAGAACTTAAGTATGACGTTTGCTTTAATTTGAACCTTATGTGATTTTATTGGAAGCCTTTTGTTGAAAAATAGCGTTATCTATTCGTCTTGCTGTTTACTTGGTTGTACAAAGTAGTTTTAACTGCGAAGTCTTTGACTGTAGTACGTGTAATGTGTAGCCATTCATTTCAATGCTTCAGGGCCAGTACTTCCATCTGCTGCTGATTGTTTTTTGATACTTTGTAATAATAAAATCGTTTGGAATAAAGTAACACAATTTCTTTTAACTATGAACTTGAACACTCTCGGAAGTGTAGGTGTAAAATAACTTGTATTCCCTTGTTTTCTAATAGGCGTTTACCGCCTTCGAGAAGCTGGGCATTACGCGGCTGCTGGATCCAATGCAGATGATGTTTTCACCCAATCCGGACAAGCTCTCTGTTATGACCTATGTGTTTCAGATCAGGACTCACTTTACTCGATCGCAACCACTACCTCCGAGCCCTCTCAGCCTGGTGTCATCACCCACAACACAGCGTCTACTACCTGCCCCACCTCAGGTGATAGTCACGGCTTATGATGAGGAGCCTAAAGACCCAGATGACACCCATGGGGCAGACATTGACAACAGTGTCAGTAGTAAGGAGTCTACTGCCAAAGAAATCGAGGAAGGGTACAACCCATTTCTTGATGATGAAGAGTCGCTGAATGATACTGATTCCACGCCAGAACAGCCAGCAGATCCCCCTGCCACCAGTTTGGGTGACTCCAAGCAGAGAGGAAGAAGTAGCGAGCAAGACGATGAGTCGAAATCTCCGAGCACAACTGAAGAAAACAAAGATACATTGCAGGAGGCTGCTGGTAAAAGAAATGATGTTCTTGTTAAAAGTAATATGAAACCACCTCCTAAACCTCCAAGGCTCCATAACATCACTAATACCGGTTCCAGCGTCGATGCAAACTCAAAAACACTCGATATCGTTGATGACAAAGACAAAAGTGAATCGAAAGGATCTAATCCCTTTGATGACGACGAAAAAGAAGAAGCTGTAGTAAGCAAGGAATCTGATTCTTCCTCGAAATCAAACAAAGGTTACAATCCCTTTGATGACGATGATGATGATGATGAAGTCGATGTTGCAGATGATGATTCTCAGAAAAAATTAAATAACACAGAAACTAAACAAGGATATAATCCTTTCGACGATGATAATGACGATGCTGAAGGCACGGTACAAACTGAAAAGGTTGTAGATCAAAAAACTGCGAAGAAACCTTCCGGCGTGGTCAAGAGAAGGGTTTCGTACCCGCACGATTTTAATCCGTTTGAAGATGATGATGATTTAGAAACGACGGAAGTTGATGAAAGCTCAAAAAGGACTGAATATAACGAAGGTAAAGATAAGGAAACTTCGTCAGCATCGACGGTAAAGAGTTACAATCCGTTTGATGATGAAAATGACGATGATGAAAGTATAAGTGGTGATGTTGGTGCGATAGATACTAGCAAAGTGGAGAGTTCGACAAGAAAATCCAGCGCGGAAAGTAGAGGCAAAGTTAACAAAGAGGCCGAATCTACCTTGCCAAAGCCTGTGGTAAGTTTGCCGGTGATGTTGCTGTTTTATCGCGCCTCCGTTTTATAACAGCTCATGGAACATTCAGAAAAAAATTGAGCTTGGTTCGCGGTTGATCATTCTCGTAATCGCAATTTTCTCTGTTCTTTTTTGTTTTTTGTTTTTTTTTTTGGTTACTTCTTTGGGGATTTTCTTCCAGGGAGGACTAGAAGTAGTAGCTTTCTGCCAATCTGAAATTCGAAACTTATTTGAACGTAGTCAAAATGAGGCGTAATGTATGGTGACAAAGACTCCTTTGAAAACCTGGGTAAGAAATTTCTCTCATTTTGTTTCGGGACGATTTCGTAGAGTTTTATTCTATTCGGTCATGACTTGTTTACTGTCAAACTCTATATCAGTTGAAGCAAAGCTATTTTGTAACATTTTTCCTCTGATAGGAGACACACAAGAAGAGGCGAGCCCCGCCCCCTCCAGCAGCACGGCCATCAGATGATCCCTGGACTCAAAGGCTTCCCGATGATGCTACACCTGTAAGGGTTAAACCGTTATTAGGGAATTTAAGAAAACCACGACGGCAACGGCAACGCGAACTTCGGTAAACAAAAGGTTTAGTGAGCAGTGAAATGGCTGTGCACGTGCGTTATAATTCTTGGTACATTTCTTTGCCGCCTTCTGCAAAACAACAACGTAAAATGACCAAATTCTGCGTTGTCTGGAGGACGTGAACTACAACGGCTAATTTTTTAAAATTTCTATTTCAATTTTATTGCTGGGTTTCAAATTTAGTTTCGTGCTAGTTCTGACAGTGAGAAACAAAACAAATGACTTCAGATTATCTCAAGATTCGTAGATAAAATATAAATTCAGTTTTTAATCAACGTTGTCCTCGGCGTCGCCGTCGTGGTTTCTTAAACTCCCTATTGTTTTTAGTTTAACAACCTGCCAGGCTGTGATCTTTGAAACCTTCTTTTGAAGTATCACAGATTATGATTGCATTCGTCGATATTCTCGTTCACTGGTCAGTTGATCTGTAGTAGCAGGAAACTTTTATGTGTACACGGTGTAACCCCACTAAAGCAAACTTGCATCGTAAGATCTTGTTAAGTAACGTTCAAACCCTTTAGAACCAGCCGTTTCCCCAGTGAAAACATTGACTGAGATTTCTCGCGTGCATACGATTAATATAGTACACAACGATCGAATTTGGTGAACAAGGGTTGTACCTTTCTTTAATTTGGATTCAAATACAGCCCATACTACCTCAGCACATTGCCTCGATGGTTTGTTGAATTCATCACATGTCGATCTCAAATCTGAGGGAAGTGACTGAAGAAACTTGTAATTAAGTCTAGTTTCTGTACCATGAAGTGTCAAAGAGTATTATTTCTACCGCTGGGTTACGCCTGGGACAGACTAGTGCCCGGTGGGATACTAGGATGTCCCCAGTCTCCCTCCTTCCCTCTCGAGCATTTTGTTAGGCTTCCGTAGATAGTAACTTGATGATGCCCATGTATACATCAGGGCGAGAGGTACAGCGAGAGGAAAGTCTCCTACAGTAAGGTGTTTCAACACTTTTTAAGTTCTTTTCCCCCTTCCCCCTTNCCCCCCATCCCCCAAAAAATCAAACTGCGGTAAATAAAGTTGGAATGTCAACTATTACGTGTCGTGACGTCTCTTCCAAACAATCCCTGTTCTAATCTGTTTCCGCAGAGACGTAGGCGAGCGACAAAACCAACAACGCCAGGAACTGGTGAACAAGCAAGCCCTCAGACCTCCCCCGCCAAAAAAGGCCCGAAAAGAGCCGCCCCTGCTCCACCGAGACGACCACCCCTTATCCCTTCTTTTGACGAGTGGAGGAGCGGCGCGTCAACGGACAGAGCCGCCACTGATGACAATGATGGACAGCCGGCTAGTTCCAATGCGGAGGGCTCACCAAGCAGAAAAATATCTCCCGCTGCAGGCGATACCAATGGAAAATCTGACAGCAGTGGTAGTAAATCTCCAGGGACAGCTCATAAAGTTTCTAGTAGTGATGGAGCTAATCAGGTTGATATTAAGCTACTTGCGCGTCAAGTGCTGATGGACGCACGCAAAAAGGCTGGGGCTAGCGGTGCGTTGCCCAGGGAACGAGTGGCGGAAATCGCCAAAACGGCCGCTGATAAAGCGACAACAGGCTCAACACAAAGCGAAGTTAGTGCACAAGAAAAAGCTAAGGTAATGCGAAAAAGCCTGTGAAAAGCTTTTCGACGGGAGTTAGATTGTTTCTTGTTCACGTTTAACTATGTTGTGTTACGGTGCGATGTGTAAATCACATGGATCCAAACTAATTTCATATACTCATGTTAGGTTGACGAACAGGATGCTATGAGAAAGAAAGAAGCTCTGAGACAACGAAAGGTTAGTTCGCGTTCTGTTAACTTAAACACGAAACATTTATATCTATTCCTATATATCTGCAAACTATGATAATAGTTATACATGGAAGTAAAAGTAGATGACTGGTGGGTAAAGTGGCCTTAAAATGCATGCAGTCTTCTCTTGACAGTCGTAAAACGCCCGTAGATGCTTTTTAATTAAGCGATGAGAATCGACGTCTTATAAATTCTGAGACATTCCGCTTAAGCTCATCAGTAATCTTTCTTTTGGGAAGACAGAAAACTGTGCGACAGCGAAAAGCTCCCGTCTAATCACAACAAGAAACATAGGAGAAAGTCTTAACTTAATCTGGGCTTTGCTCTCACTCAACAACTCATGCGGCAGGGAAGACAGCGTGCAAGCAGTTACATGTAAGAGAGCCGGCCTCGTGTGCGGACTGTAAATTGAGATGTTTTATTTTCCTTTTTGACTTTAGGAAGAACTGCAGAAAAGGAAAAAGGCCACCGAGAAAGCCCACATGATGGTCCAAAATGCAATTGCGAGAGAGAAGGCTCAAAAGGCGACTAACTCGCCGGAACAAACAAGAGGTGAGCGAAAAGATCAGGAAGTCGACAGTGATGCGCCTAATCCTGACGCTACCAGCAATGATCAGAAACCTGTTGGGAACAAGAATTTACAGCATCGTCCTTTAAAACTCAAAGATAAAGAAAATGACTCACAAAAACGAAAGTTATCCACAGAGAAGGACACCAAGTCCGCGCCGGACAAGGCGGGCTTCAAAGAAAGCGACGAACTACAGCGAATAAGGCAGATTTTGAATCAAGGAAAAAAGGAGAACAAATCGAGTACTTCTGAAAATGTCGATCAGGAAACGGACACAGTTGAAGCGCGGAGTGCCGGTGCGTCAGAGGAAGGAAAAGGGAAAATGTCTGGTTTTAATACTTCAACATACCCAGCTGTAAATGGTGTGAAAGGTAGTCCAAGCCCCACACCTCCGACACGGTCTAAAGCACGCGGTCCGAACGCGGGTCTGCGTGACTATGTTGAGAGTAGGAAAATGAACTTTGACGTATTTGAGGTACCACCCGTCCGAACACAGCAAAATGATGAACAGGACAGCGCGGAAACAGGAAAAGGTGAGAAATGTCACAAAAACAATACAGTTAAATATCTAGTATAAAATATGCTTAATCATTTAAATTTTAAGCGTCTTACAATTTTTTGAACCAAGTAAAGCAGTGCACTATAACCTTGTCAGTACGGATTTCGACTGCTGCTCAGTTTCATCTCTTTTCATTCCATTTGTATGAGGTTGATGTATGCCCTTAGGTTCGAGATACGGCATTTTAAGGAGATTGTTTCCTAACCGAGGCATGATTCTTCAAATCGTTCGCCGTTCATACGATCAGCCTGTGAGCCTGGAGACGGCTGTGAGCTAACTCACGAAGTACGCAGGGAAGCGCTGCCCCTCCACCTTTATTTTTTCTCCTTTGTCACCTTGTAATTTGTTTTATTTGAAAATTGTCATTGTTGATTCTGCTGATCTTCTTTTCTGCTGGCATTGCAGGCGACACGACAGATGGCCAAGCTAAGGTAGGAATGATGGCATTGATCTATATTTCCTTCATTTGTCGGTTCTGTTTTCACTTCCCGCAATTAATAGAGACCTTTAGATTGGACTACGAGTACGAGATTACGTACGAGTAGGATTTTCTAATTTCAAACCAGTGACGTTTCCAGAGCCCTCGCTCTTCATCGTGGTTTTAGATAGAGAGTGCAGCTCATGGGATGAAATGGGTATGTGATTTGATGATGTGAAGCCTGCAAACTAGAATTGAAAAGTCGTACTCGTACTCGACGTCGCACTCGTACTCAAATCTTTTAAGATTTAAGATTTAAGGTAAGGCTGTGAATGGTACGGCACTACCGCTGGTGAATCGCCGTCTCACTTCCCTCGAGGGGTCCCTTGTTTGCCGTAATAAAAATATACACTATTGGTCAACTACGATCTCTTCATCGCTCTTTCAGAAACGAACAGTGCGGTCTCAGTTTATCAGTTTATTAGGGGACTTTTAATAATTTTTTCACTATTGGGCGAGTATATTTCGTGTAATATCTCGCCCTACAGGAAATATTATAAGGGGACTTTAATAATATTTCCTGTAGGGCGAGTACATTTCGTGTGATATCTTTAAGGGCTTCGTTTTGTTTACGTCAAATTGATATGTGGTGGATTGACAGTCGGTTCTTTTTAAGGAGGCATATATTTTCATGACTCTTTTGTCCGTGTTTCGTTAATGTTGTTACTTGGTGTTCCAATTATTTTCGATTCCTCCACTGGTCCTCCAGCTCCTGATGAACTGAGACCTTCAGCATCATTTCTGTGGTGCAGGTTGTGTAATACCTTAAACCGCACTGTTCGTTTCTGAAAGAGCGATGAAGAGATGGTAGTTGACCAATACTGTATATTTTTATTACGGCGAACAAGAGAGCCCTCGAGGGAAGTGAGACGGCGAATCACCAGAGGTAGTGGCGTACCATTCACAGCCTTTCCTTTTTGCCCAGTCTCTCTCCGCTCCGTAGTCCCTCGTGATTTCTTTAACCAGCATACGTCCTATACTCATTTTGTTTATAAACTTGACTTTTTTGTTTTTGTGTAGAATGAAGACTCGATATTAGATGGTGGAGACCAGGACTCCGAGGACCTAACACAAGTTAGTTGTTTTTGTGTTTAGTTTGTTCATCTCTAATCCGGCGTAACATAGTTAACAGCGTTACAGCACTTAAAGCTGAAATCTTGAATCTTCCAAATGTAGGTATTTGTCCTAGCTGTTACAAATTTGGTCTTTTCAATTGAAATCTTTGTCAGCTGACGATTGAGGCCAGTGACCATTGAGTCTAAAAATAGTAAGAAAGGCAGCTAATTACTCATTTCCTATTATTATCATTTTTGTTGTTGTTGTTGTTTTCGTTTAATTACCGTCTCTGCCCTGGTAAGATGATCAAGTGTTCAGTGTTTCTCATAACCTGCTCGCTGAAATCTGCTTTGTGTTAAAGATTTCAACAGTTAACCAGTTGCTCTATTTTGAAGGAGTTTCAAGACACTTCTGAGTACGTCCGCGAAGAGTTAAAAGTACTTGAAGAACAGCAAGAAGCTTTGGACAAAGTCGGAGAAAAACTCGAAACGGAGCTGCGTCGAGCAATGGGGTGTAAAGGTAAAATTTCGTATTTTACACAATTTGGTGATATGAGCATCTCATGGTTAGTTTGACAGGCGGTGCAATAGATGTCTTTAAGAATGGCTGACTGTTAGGATCGAGAAACGCCGGTCAACGACCGATTTGGCAAATCGCTCATATTTTGTCCAAAGATACCCTTAGGTGACCTTATTCTAAAAATCATATTATAAGGTTTCAGCGAATTTTTATTTTTCAGAAATTTGCGAAAATTTGAAAGCGCGGTC